TTTGTTTCTGTGTCTGTGTCTGTGTCTGTGTCTGTGTCTGTGTTTGTGTCTGTGTCTGTGTCTGTGTCTGTGTCTGTGTCTGTGTCTGTGTAAATCTGTCGTTCGAAAACTATCTGTGTCTGTGTCTGTGTCTGTGTCTGTGTCTGTGTCTGTGTTTGTGTCTGTGTCTGTGTCTGTGTCTGTGTCTGTGTCTGTGTCTGTGTAAATCTGTCGTTCGAAAACTATCGACCCGCGTACACTGTTAACTCGACTGTATAGACGTTTATCAACAGTCTCTTGCCCGTCTCCTACCCGCACTTGCGATCACTTTAATTAAACGCAATTTCAAAACGCAATTTCACAAAGCTGTCGGACTCCAACTGAGTGAAACTAAGGTGCAGTTTTCGCATACCTGTTTGTTTAATTTTCCAATTATATCAAGCGCTTCTGTTACCAGTTCATTCAAATGAAAACATGAAGAAGAGGTCGTAAACCTTGGAGTATAATTCTGGCGAAAGAAAAATGGATATAAGGTTAGATTGGTGAGTGTGTGTGTATCCGTATTTAATTTCTATGGTTTGTTTCTAAACCATAGAGTTTGTTTCTAAACGTGGAAAACGAAAGCAATTTGTCAGGAGGCTAGTACCACTATAAAAAAGGTAATCAATTCAAGTGGCCTCCTTTGAAACCTGGAAGTGTTTTTACTCCTTTTTCGGAACGTTAAGAAACAAACCACGCCAGCGTATTGACTAATATTGTATAATTTCGCGTCTACGACGTAATCTCGTGTTTGTACGTATGTTCAGGTACAGATACTTTAGTTTTATCTACACCACAATGCATCACGATTGAAAATGGCGTCGGTGTTGGCAAATAGGAACAAAGAGCCTTTACGAATGCATGCACTGGGAGGATTTTTACTCTTGGAAGTATATGATCAACTTCATCCAAATCAGTATAATATGATGTACGTCATTTACAATTTTATGTAATTTACAAATTTATTTCTAGAGCAAGGTAAAGAATTCCTGACGCGTGTTTTCATATTAGTTCTTCTGTCCTTAAGTCTTATTTCAATAAAAGGTATTCTTTTGTTATTTGTAAAAACTTGAAATTATACGACATGCACCATTGTGAAAATGTACACCCTGCACAGTTCCGGTGCAACATTCCGGCATAATTCCAAACCGTGAGATTTCAAGCCGAAGTACCAGCAAAGAAAACAAATGGCTTTCTATCCGCAAAGGGAATCCGAACCTACGGCTAAAGGTAATTAAAGACGTTTGCATATTCTTAAACCTACGCCATGCACCAAAGCCCCTGCGCAGCCAAAAAATTAGTTAACAAGTATATAAGGCAAGAATATCATTAGCATGCATATGACCAAACAGGTATAATTTGTCAATTTGTTCAGACATATTTGAAAATATAAAGAAAAATTTTACTGACATTTCTCAAGGTAGGTTCTCTGAACCTACTGAATATAAAGAATAAATACCTAATTCATCACTGTCGACATTATCGTTATTACTATCGTACAATGATAAACTTTGAATGTTACCTCTACCTGCTTGTCCGTGTTTGGATGTTGCACCAGGCTTAACCTCTTTACTGGTTTTACTACGACACACTGACGCTATATGACATGTTTTTGTACATTTAAAGCATTTTGCTGTTTTAAATCGACAAGTTTTTGCAGTATAATTTCCGCCACACCTGTAGCACACTTGCTCGTCATTTCTCTTGCTTTCTATTTTGCTCACCGTCCCTTCATTAAAACCACTGGCACTAGTATTTGGATGAAACTCTTGCGTGTTCCTTTCAGCCATCTCCATAGACTTCGCAATCTGACAGGCTTTGTCAAATGTGATATTTTCGGTGTTCAACAGTTTGTTCTGTATCTTGACGTTGTTTAGCTCACATACAAACCGATCTCGTAATGCTCGATTTAAAAATCCCCCAAAAAATACAATGAATGGAAAGTTTTTTTAATGCCACTACATATTCACCAATTGACTCAACAGGTTTCTGTGGGGAAAAACTTTTAGAACAGTTGTAATATATAACAGTGTAAATAGCCGGGAGGAATTTAGAACAGTTGTTACTTTTAGAAAAGTTGTAATATTCTGTGGGGAAAAACTTTCAGAACAGTTGTAATATATTAATATTTTGCCATAAATGTAAACTTTCAGAACAGTTGTAATATATTAATATTTTGCCAAATATGCGGTTGCTATATAAGTTGCTATGTGTTGTCGGTCATTAGCGACGCTTGGGTGCATGCATATATTAATGTACAACATAGTTGTACTCAGGCGTGCGGGTCGCGCGGGTGGGAAAGAGCGGGCTTTGTGGGCAAAAATTTACACAAGATTTCAGTTTTAAAATACTTTTATTTCTTCAAAACGTTTTACAAAATTTAGTACGGTCTACTTCTGAGAGCATAACGCTTAGGTGTTTTTGTTATTTTTAAAGAGTTCTCATATTCTTGTCTATCTCCAGGTGATAATCTTGCAAGATCTTCATGCTTCATTGGAATATATTTCGGTCTTTCGTTTAGTAAAAAACGTTCATGACGCTCTCTTCCCTTTGGTTTCATCATAGCCAGATCAATTGTGAAAAAAGTTGCGCTTGAGTTTTGGTCGTTCCTGTTCTGTTGGTGGTGGCGTAAGGAAATTAGGTTCAGGAGTAGCAGGCACTGGTGGAGGTATTTCCGCTGGTACATGTGTGGGAGGCACTTGTAGCGGTATTTTTGCTGGTACAGGAGCAGGAGACACCAGTGAAATTCTCTGAACAGGAGCTTGAGCCGGGACATCCATCTTACTTTTGAATGTGAGAAACCGATTTAGTTGATCAGAGTAAAGCTTGCTTTTTCCACCACAGAAAGTTGTGGCGCTTCCATGATTTTTTCATTCTCTGTTCGGCATCATACATTGCATTTGCAAGTGGTGGTTGAAGATACGACTGTTTGTGTAAAAACTTTGCAATCTCGCCGGGAAGTACGTTGGTTTTGAGTCATTGTTGATCGTCTGTTGTTGGCTTTAAATCCAACATCAAGTACCCACGAGGTCGACTCGTAGCATCTTCATAACTCCTCATAAACTCTTGTACTTTACCAGGATCTACCTGTCTTGCAAGCATAGAAATTTGCTGTTTATCTCTTGGTGACTTGAACAACACGATATAATTAGAATTAAGGCCGATATTTCTCATTTCGTTGCCCTGATGAAATATATTTTGAACAATATAGATGATGGACAAATTTCGATGATGACTTCCTTTCGTAAAAAGATCAGCTATACGTTTGTCTTTACTAGATTGTGCCATAAGATCATCCAATACAATTAAATTGCGTTGCGATACGTCCAAGTAATCTCCGTTGTCGATATGGTCGGGAATGCCTTTACTGAACTCGATTCCAGGCATCGCCCTCAACATATCAAAATAGGAGGGTTGCCATTGACCATAACACCAGATAATACGTTGAGGAGCAGGACTTATGGTCGTCTGAGCATTCTCCAAAAGAGATTTTACCCATACAGTTTTGCCACTTTGTGTACACCCAGTTACGATGTACGTAAAAGGATGCTGCATAACACTGGACGTATTGCCAATTACACTTAACCTTCTTTCATCTGTACTGGTGCTATGCATCTGTTTTTTGTGACGTGAACGGTTACCAGGTGTTGAAAACGGTCTTCCACAGACTTCGCAGGGATAAGACATGTTTACAGGTTCACAATCAAATGTAAAATGAATTCAAAGTTTGTGTACCGTTACATAAATAGTATTATATGGTAAAACGAACATAAATAATCCTAGAACATAAATAATCCTACGATATTCCAAGATACTGTATGATATCCTAAGATATTGCATGATATCCTAAGATACTGAATGACATCTTAAGATATTGATATCCTAAGATATTTGATATTCTAAGATATTGTATGATATCCTAAGATATTGTATGATATCCAAAGATATTGATATGACATCTTAAGATATTGATATCCTAAGATATTGATATTCTAAGATATTGTATGATATCCTAAGATATTGTATGATATCCAAAGATATTGATATCCTAGGATATTGACATCCTAAGATACTGTATGATATCCTAAGATATTGATATCCTAAGATATTGATATCCTAAGATATTTATATCTTAAGATATTGATATCCTAAGATACTGTATGATATCCTAAGATATTGAATGATATCCTAAGATACTGTATGATATCCTAAGATATTGATATCCTAAGATATTGTATGATATATCCTAAGATACTGTATGATATCCTAAAATACTGTATGATATCCTAAGATATTGATATCCTAAGACATTGATATACTTATATATTGTATGATATCCTAAGATAAAACCTAATTTCCTTACGCCACCACCAACAGAACAGGAACGACCAAAACTCGAGCGCAACTTTTTTCACAATTGGGTACGAGTGCTACGAGCTACTATGAAGATGCTACGAGTCGACCTCATGGGTACTTGATGTTGGATTTAAAGCCAACAACAGATGATCAACAATGACTCAAGACCAACGTACTTCCCGGCGAGATTGCAAAGTTTTTACACAAACAGTCGTATCTTCAACCACCACTTGCAAATGCAATGTGTGATGCCGAACAGAGAATGAAAGAAATCATGGAAGCCCCACAACTTTCTGTGGTGGAAAAAAGCAAACTTTACTCTGATCAACTAAATTGGTTTCTCACATTCAAAAATAAGATGGATGTCCCAGCTCAAGCTCCTGTTCAGAGAATTTCACTGGTGTCTCCTACTCCTGTACCAGCAGAAATACCATCACCAGTGCCTCCTACACATGTACCAGCGGAAATACCACCACCAGTGCCTGCTACTCCTAAACCTAATTTCCTTACGCCACCACCAACAGAACAGGAACGACCAAAACTCAAGCGCAACTTTTTTCACAATTGGGTAGATTCTGCTGATTGGAAAGAAAGTGATCTGGCTATGACGAAACCGAAGGAAAGAGAGCGTTATGAACGTTTTTTACTAAACGAAAGACCGAAATATATTCCAATGAAGCATGAAGATGTTGCACGATTATCACCTGGAGATAGACAAGAATATGAGAACTCTTTAAAAATAACAAAAACACCTAAACGTTATGCTCTCAGAAGTAGACCGTACTAAATTTTGTAAAACGTTTTGAAGAAATAAATGTATTTTAAAACTGAAATCTTGTGTAAATTTTTGCCCGCAAAGCCCGCTCTTTCCCACCCGCGCGACCCGCCCGCCTGAGTACAACTATGTTGTACATTAATATATGCATGCACCCAAGCGTCGCTAATGACCGACAACACATAGCAACTTATATAACAACCGCATATTTGATTATTTTTTTTATGGCAAAATATATTACAACTGTTCTAAAAGTTTTTCCCCACAGAATCAAAATGTACAATATTTTGTAGACGAAGAGGCAGTAACTTTACCATGTAGACATGAACTAAGCGTTGTCAACTAAAGACTATGCTTCGAACGGACCGGCTCCGAGCCACGCTCCGAGCTATTTAGACTATATGCGTCTCTGTAAGCTTTCAAAGTTTCCGTTTATTTTGAGTTAGCTACATATACATTTTCCCGCCAAAAAGTACGCCTGTTTTTAAATCTTGCGAGCTGGGCTTGAACCAACGACCTAAGGAACTACAGTCCTCCGCTCTACCGACTGAGCTATCGCAAGAGCATGTTTTAATTAATCACGCGAAAAAACAATCAATATACATGTGTGTTTGGTCGCGCTACGTGTCACATTTGCCCAGGCTTGCCCGAGTGACGCCTGATCTTATTCCGTGGCGTCATTGCACTAGGATTGAAGGCTCTCAAAGGAGTACCTTGTTGTGTTTGGTCGCGCTACCTGTCACATTTGGCCCAGGCCTGCCCAGCAAAGTGAGGCCATAGTTTTGTATACTAATTACTTCCGTTGCTAGAGTGCTAGCTGAGCAACGTGACGTCATTGCCGGCATTGGCGGCATCCATTTGAATTCCATAGTGGGGTTTATCACTACTAAAATGAAAACTTTCAGCAATCTCCAACGGCGCTGGGTTAAAATGCTTCTGTAGTGCTTGAACTATGTTAGTCAAAGACGTGTCGTTTGGCTTCGCTGGCACTAACAAATTACTTAATGTGGAATATACATTCGGCCCAGTTTCAGTTAGAAAAATGGCACGTTTCCTGTCGCTGACAAGTTGATTAGCCTCTTCATTTGCTTCACCTGATGTGTCTACAATGTTGTTTGCCGTAAAAAAACATTTCTATTCTTTCCACATAGGATTTAAATGTCTCTCGTTCGGAATTAAACTCGCCAACATGGTCGAACAGTCCTCCGGCTGTTGCCATTTCGATGTTCAGTTATCAGATTTAATAAATTTCTTACTTCCAAACTTTTTCCACTGCTGCGAAGGTATCTCATGCAACTTTGAGCATATAGAATATATCCGATTCTCGTCGCCAAATGTAGACAAGTATACTGAGATTCGCTTTAGTGCAGGAATACAAGCGACACGAACAACACGGTCGAGTTACAACACAATCCTTTTATTTCCGTACAGCATTATGGGATATGTATAAATTATACTAATATGAACCTTAATATATTACAAATACTATAACCAATAAAATGTAATACAAGAGAATGAAGCAAAACTGCGCTTTAAACACTACAGCAATAACACAGCAACTTACCAGTAATGTTTACCGTCTAATATACATTCACTTCGGCTAATCCATTTTCCACCAGATAGCGCCTTATCGCACACACAATCTGGTATATCGTTTTTCGGATCTCCAACCTTGTCAGCGAGTGGTTTTCCTTACATTTTCAATATTGTGCTCAACACTTTCTGGTTCTCGAAACCGCTTTTTCTTATATTATAAGAAGATGCCATGCTCTTTTGCCAACAAAATTAATTTATTTACGACAAAAGCGAACTGAATGCTTCGTTACATAGGTTGATATGTCAGATAATTGGATCCGGCTGGATTTTCGTGCCAAAATGGATTTTTTTGGTCAACTTTGTCAATTTTGGGTTGCTGATTTAAAAAAAGTTAGGTACCATTTTTTTCTTCTACGTCATCAGTAAAAAAGTTGAGATTCAAAATGGCGTCCATTTTTTTATTATGTTTTGTTCTATTAGTCTCAATATCGTAGTTTGTGGAAACATTAGAATAACAATACCGTTCAACATTGTTAATTATTGAGTTGCTGAGTTTTAAAAAGTTGGCTACTTTTATTTTCGATGCCATCATCCTTCAAAACTTGGAGTTTCAAATTGTATTCTGTGGAAATTCTCTCCAATTTCATGCCATGACCATATTATTAAAAACTTAGCTTTGACTTTTTCAACTGTATCACTACAGTCGCTATTTAGCAATTTAAGGCTGTGGTGGTGAGTCATTAAAACTCTTTAATTTTTGTTTACAATTTCACTAGAAATTATGTCCAAGACATATAAAGAGAATTAAGCTATTGTGGCTGTGATCGGTAATGTGAATAAAGATAAAAGGTATAATAAAGTAAAGAATTTGTCAGAATAGTTTGCATGACTAGTACCTAGTCTCTTTGCACGGACATCCAAGATGGCAGACACAGCTGTCACTACATGAGCTGTATGTATCTTTCCATATATTTCATTTTCTAAGCAGCCGAACTTGATTTTGGAATTGGAGGCGAAAACATTAAATTAGGTATTAAATTACTAATTTGAAATTGATCGAAAAAATGTGCGATCATAATGTGATTTTAGTTGTAATATGTTATGGTTAATGTGCTTTCCTAGGAATGTCAGACATGCACAAAAGGAAGAAGAGATGAAGGAATGATCAAGAGATGAAACAATTTCTCTAACATGGATACTGCAGAAACTAGTGCCAACAAGTACATCATATGCTCGAAGGTCGAAGGAACAACACCTTTAACATTGAAATCGTCTAGGGAGAGTCTGGAAAAAGTCAAGAAATATGCAAGCCAACGCGCATCGTATGGGGAAACAAACTTATCCCCTCTCTGTAACAGGATTTCAAGTCTTACAGATGAGCAATACATTCAGTCTGTATATCATTCAGGATGCCATAAAAATATCGTCAACAATGAGAAATTGAAAAGGGAAGAAAAGAGATTTAGGGAATCTTCATCATCATCAAAGTCAGTAGTGCCTCCAAAGAAAGGTCGCCCTTCAAGGTCAGATTCTCCATCATGCAGTAGAGAGGTAACAGGCGAACGACTACGACGATCTGTTGGCGCTTCACAGCACATCAAGACTTGTGTGTTTCAGTATTCTCATCCTAGCATAGGCGAACTACATCGAGTCGAAAGTGAGTCTATGGGCATCCGGTTTTTGTTGATTAAATCAAGAACACAATATGAGAATGTTAGGGTAGCTTTAGCCAATGTTATTGAACCTTCTCGGACTGCGCTGCATTTAATTTAATGCATCACAGGAATTGTCTTAGAAAACACGAACGATAGTTGCAACAATCCATTTCAAACTGGGATATACAGTCCAAGTCCAACATTGGCAAATATATCGCTGACGTTGACATTCTGAATGCTGTCAAATGTCCCCTTGCTTCAGATTCTACTCTAACAATGAATGAAATTGATGAAGAATATGTTTCCACACGTACTGAAAATGAGGTAGATCCAGGTTCCAGCCATGATAAAGAGCATCTGAAAAGTATTATCCATGAAAACATTGAAGATGTTAAATTTGTCAAGTCGCATAGATCCAATGAAAGTGATAATGTAGTCAGCGAAAGGCTACTTGGAATGGCTGTTAACAACCTCCAAGAGCAACACAATGAAGAAGATGACATCAAATGCATCGCAAAGACAGCTGCTATATTGAGAAATGAGCTCAAAAGACATACTCACTGGAAATTTACAGGATCCCAGTCCACGAAGGACTTTCAGTCTCCACCAATGTTGACCTCCTTTCTACGATGGCTTCTTCTTGGCACAAAACTTAGAAATGTGAAAGGAAAGCGCTATCAGGCATCAACGAAGTCAGTTGATCTTGTGTCACAAAAGATACTGCAGAACTTTAAAACGGACCGTCAGACAACATACCAACCCCAGTCGGATACCGGATTCCGAAGTCACATTGAAACTCCTCTCTGTTGGATGGCATACTTCGAAACCCGGACCGGACTCGGACTCTAAGAAAATCCGGACTCGAGAAAAACCCGGACCCGGACTCGAAAAAAATCCGGACTCGTGTTTAAGAAAACCCGGACTTGACTTTTAAAAACCCGGACTCGAAATAGAAAAAAACGGATTCAAAACAAGGATTCTGTGTACGACAATGCAAAGGTTTTTTGGGAAAGGTTTAATAATAGTTAACATGATAAACGATGATCTCTTTATAACAATAATCCGGTATATATCTTTAAATAAATTTCTAGAGTGCTGTTGCACAATCTGGCGTAGTGCTGATAAAGAATCTGAGTTGCATCGGTAATATTAAATTTGCGGATTTGTTCTCTCGCGCGGGTGTCCCTATCTCTTCCCGCTTTCTATATATAGATATAGAGAGAATACTTTATTTGAAAAGCTTATAGCTTGGTTTCGAAAGGTGTAGATCATTTTCTTTTCTAGTGACTCAGTGTTATGTTTTATGTGAGGATACTAATCAGTAATCATACTATGATTCCTCACAAAATAATCACGGCTATATACTAGTATATAGTATATACCTGAACAAATCATTTAGGCACTTGAACACCAAAATGCATTTATGCATACTTGCATGCGCGAGTAGCTGAATCTACCCTAAACCTAAATTAATAACTAAAATCTGTCTCAGCAGTCAAGAATGTCTTGTCTGGAAACCATCTCGATACACTATTGCTGCAACCATAGCAGACAACGTGATGGCGGCAAGGGTAAAATATACCCCAACACATGTATCAATGGACAGCCACTTTCGAAAAATTTGTCAAAATGACACGAAAAATAACTCGACCGTGTTTTGTGGCTTAGGCCATCGTTTCAATGGTAGCAAATCCAATGATAGCTTTCAAAGTCCCGAATATATATATACAGTATATATATTGCCAAAAAACAAACTCAATAAAAATTATTTCCGTTTTAGCAAAGTAACTAACGGAAAAGCACATCACATGCTGAAGGCAGTGAAGGTGTCGCGGCAATTTGATATTATAAAGTGCTCTCAAATATTTGGGCAAGACGCTGCTGTAAACACGTTTATTTTCTCAATTTTGTTAAGATAAAGTTCACAAACACTGTTAATTTCGAGGAGTCAAATTGACTCCAAAAGTGGAGTAATTAAAAAAGGTACAGAACGACTCCTTTTTTGGAGTAAATTTTACTCCTTTATTTACTCCATTTTTGGAGTAAATTTTACTCCATAAGTAGAGTTGTTTTTACTCCTCAAAGAGTAAAAACAACTCTACTTAAGGAGTAAAATTTATAGGGGTGCACCGGATTTGGAATTTTCGAATCCGGCCGGAACCGGATTTACCGGATTTGGACAAAAATTCCGGCCTGAATACCGACCGGATTTGCCGGATTTGAGATAAACTGGTAATGGGGACAATTGGGGATAAATCAGTATTCAAAATGACGGTTTATGTTTTTTACTATTTTTAGTTAGTGTCAGTTTAGATTTTTGATTGTGTTTAAGGTGGCTCCCTACAGTTCTCTAAAATTCTAGGTATTTTGAGTATCGTTCGCTTTGAACCGAATTTATATTAGATACACTTAAGACAAGGCAATATGATCATTTCCAGGAAAGTTCAGAAGCTGTGTGCTGTCCATTTATGAACAAATTAAAACAGTGTTTGTGTTGCCATGGCAACCATGACGTTTAATCTTTTGCACTTTTATTGTCTAATTTCACAATAAATTGACAATATCTATATTTTCCTTCGGTGAATTTTTCTGAAATTTTTTGTGAAGATTTATGATTCATAAAGGAAAAACATATCAAAATTTGAAGGGAATTTACAAATAAGTGTTCGAGATATTTGTGAATGACGGTTACAGAAAAAGTTATTTGTAGAATTTCTTAAAATTTGGATATGTTGTACCACTCGTCTTGTATAACAAAAATACAAAGTTTAAAAAAATTTCACCGAAGAAAACACGAGAAAATAATCGCTAAAATCGGCGTGGCCAGCATGAAAAAAATCGACTCGACATGAGCACGATCTGCGCATGCGTATAAATTGTAGCGTGTGATTTATAGTGATTTCAACTTTTTGGCTTACAATACATTAGAAAACAGATATTTCTGACTTGTTTGACATGAAAATAAAATATTAATCTTGAAAATACTAATAAAAAAACACTATTATAGGCATTGTATTAAATCCAGTGTTAGTTTACATTTGTTTTTGTTGTTAAAATCGGTGTGAAAACTTTTCAAAACATCGAACTACAAGTTTAACTTTTCATATAAAACAACTCATAACTGTTTTATTTGATTTAGCAGATAAAACGATACCTGTAAATTGAATTGATTGACAGAACTTATATAAGTTTCGGCAACAGTTCACTACTGTTCAAGAGTTAACAGAAGACAGTATCACTTCAGTGAAAGACAATACTGAACGTAAATACGTAAAAACACACTAAAAGATAGGTTAAACTAGTTAATAACATACGTACTGTTCGAATTCAGAAAAAATTAGGATTATAATGAAAAACTGGGGCTTTCTTTGTAGATAAAAACGCCAAAAAACGTCCCACGGCTTGTTTCAATATTTTTGCCGAACAGTAAACACGATTCCACGCGCAGGTTGCGAGGATGAAGTCTGATCTATATAAATCGTATTTAAACTGTACTAACTGTAGGGAGCCACCTTAAACCTTTTTTAAACATCTTTTTTTTAATAACTTAATATTTTATAATAATATAAGTGTTTTTTTAAACTTTAAAGCTGCCAAATTGATGGTTTATCCCATCTTTTTAAGGTGAAAACAGAAATTTAAATCCGGCCGGATTTTCTCCAAATCCGGCCGGAAGCCGGATGCCGGAAAATTCGTTAAATCCGGCCGGAATTCCGGCCGGATTTGAAATCCGGTGCACCCCTAAAAATTTACACCAAAAATGGAGTAAATAAAGGAGTAAAATTTACTCCAAAAAAGGAGTCGTTCTGTACCTTTTTTATTTACTCCACTTTTGGAGTCAATTCGACTCCTTTGGAGACAAAATGACTTCTATATATCGGAGTAAAGAAAAGTCTTTAACTAACTTTAGAAATCAATAAAGACAATCAGTAAGGTATATTATAGCAGGAAATACAATTTGCTGTAGCATAATATAATGATATACTCTTACGCCCTATAATATTTTAATGAAGTTCTAAATTGATTAGAATGATATCATGAATACATGATTAGAATGATATCATGAATACATGTGGAATACAATTACAAGCCTGTCAGCATGAATTGAACCTGCAGCCCTGAAATTCTACCGCAGCCCTCTGACCTAAAGAGCCCTTTTGCCAAGAGGTAACCACAAGTTGCTGTATATATACCATGGTGGTGTCATTGGTAGTGTATTAAATAAACTATT